TGTGCTGTGGCTGCGGAGTGGGGCTTGAGAAGCTACAATCTAGCTTTGCGACCCTGTGGTCTAATCCTGACCCAGTCACCTCATGCAGACCCACTTAGTTATCCCCTCTCCCCACATTAATCTGTTCATTAAATTAAAATCTATTTGTTCATCTAATGCCAATATGTTTGGGAGCTCATGATAGCGCCTGCTCCAAACTGGGGTCCCACCTCTCTCCCGTGAAGCCCTCCATCGATGAAACTTCCCCCACCCAAGCTCATTAGCTCAGCCTCTATGAAATTTAATACCATGAATTAACTATATCTACATTTTGGTTCTTATCATAAGATGTTTATCTTGTGTGAGTAGATATGATCTCCCCAAAGAGACCATAACCCTGTGAGATTAGAGATCAGAGAAAGAGTCTTGGTCAAAGAGATAGATCCCTGGTTTCCTCTCAGCACCCAAAACCAGGCCTCCAGAAACATGAATTGATTGGCCTAATAATGATCTATCTTTAACTCCAGTTAACCAGTGATTCCCAAAGAGGGCAGTGGGAGACAGTGCCTCCCCTTTAGAAATATGTATCCCCAGGGAAAAGTGTTCAAACTCACACACACACACACACACACACACCCTTCCTGAAGATACTGCCCATGCTCCTCCCCTTCTGAGAATCACTGATCAGTGTGTACACAGCACATATGAGTGCTTACTGTTACTGGGGACCACTGAGTCGATTTTCAACTCATAGCAACCGTATGACAGTGTAGAACTGCCCCCTTGGGTTTCCTAGTCTGTCATTTTTATGGGACCAGATCACCAGGTCTTTTCTCCCTTGGAGATGCTGGGTGAATTTGAACCTACAACCTTTGGCTGGCAGCCAAGTACTTAATCACTGCACTGCATTACCAGGGCTCCTATATAAGTGCTATGAAGGGCAAAAAAAAGTTTGAGAACCTCTGCTCTAGCCTGTCAGATACACAATTCCACTTGGCTAGTCCCCTGACCTTTAACACGCCCCAAACTGAATTCATCAGTGTCTTCACCTAGCAAACGTCAGGCTACCAACTTCTTGATGTGGGAGCACCAATGTCAAGAGCTTTCTAATGTCTCTCTCTTCGGGCCTCCCTCCTTCCCTGGCTGCCAGTCAGTATGTCAGGTCACTTGACCAGCCCCTCCTCTGCTATCTCTAAGTCTTCTCCACCTGCTGCCTCTCACCTAGATTATTGCAACTGTCTTCCCAGCCACCAGCCTCTTTCCTGCTCCAATCCATCCCACACATTCTCAACTGCTTGCAGGCTTCAATTCGCCCCCACCGGTGTGTGAATCTTCCTCTCAAGGGTCTGACCTCAAACATCATTTCCACTGGGTCACTCCTCCCCTGCTTAAGCTTTTTTTTTTTTTCCCCCCTACTTAAGATCTTACAGTCCTACTTCACTTTTATTGTAAGCATAGTCTTGAACAGAATGGGCCCTCAAAGACTATATTCTGAATGAATGACTAAATGAATGAATGAGCAAATGAACGAATTCCTCCACCTGAGATCACACTCAAGATTCTTTATCCCCTCCCCCTCACTCCAATGTTGCCATTCTCATTTCTTTGTGCTCCTCCACACACCACTTCCCCACAAAATTCCATTTCTCTTCCTCCATTGGCCCTCAAACCAGTCTTCCTACTCCTCTCTCCTTTGAAACTATTCTGCCAGAGGCTTCAAATGTCAATTCTAAATTCACTTTTCTATGAGCTTTCCCTCCCTCATCCCATCTGAACAATCCCTGTTCCTTGTTCTTTAATTCACTCAACAAATATTTAAGGGGCACTGTGTGCTCTGATGGAGCAATGGTTAAGTGCTCCGCTGTTAACCCAAAGGTTGGCAGTTTGAATTCACTCAGTGACCTGAATCTGCCTCCATAAAGATTACAGCCTAGAAAACCCTGTGGGGCAGTTCTACTCTGTCACACTGACTTGATGGCACCTAATGACGACGACTGTTGGCACCATGCTAGGTACCAGGAGGGCAGAGATGGGTAATATACTGCTCATGTGCTCAAGAGCTGGATCAGACACAAGACTATAGAGGTCCCCTGATCTATACAGGAGCATGGTAAGGAAAACTTGAATCAGCCTGGGTAAACTCATGGGTTTCCTGGAGAAGCTGAGACCTGTTAAAAACTCAAAGATAGGTACACTGAGGTTTGTCTGCCTCCCCTCAGTGCTCTAGGGCACCCAACACAATGCTTTTGTGGATATTTCCCTCCAGATTGTTCCAAAATCTTTTTTTTTTTCTTTTTTTTAAAGCTGTCTTGGCTCCTAGATTGTAAGCTCTGTGAAAGCAGGGATCAGTCTCCTGTTTGCATTGTCACACTCTCCCCTTATGCTCCCCCACCCCTACCTACTGGTACATGCACCTGGCCAGGTCCACCTGTACAAAGAGAGCAAACAAGCACTCATGCATGCATGCAGACGCTAGGTGCAGTGTGGACCACTGAAGGATGGGCAAGTACAAAGTTCATGAACAGCCTAATGCAGCCTTACCCACCCCGCCTCCAGGCTGGGCTCCTCTCCAGTAACAGTTTTGCTCTGGGCTAGTGTATCAGCCCCAGCCCCTAGGTACTTTCGTTTATCTGTTTAGGCTAACTTTACCCTGTTTTCCAAACACAGATGTTCAGTGAGTCATTACCACTAATACTGATAATAATATAAAAGCTAACAAAATAATAATAATAATAAAAAGCTACAGTTTTTGAGCACCTTCTATTTGCTACACCCTAAAACCAAAAACCAAACTCACTGCCATCGAGTCAGATCCGACTCATAGCAACCCCTCCTTGGGCTTCCAAAACCCTAGTGGGTGGTTATTAGTGGTCCCGTGGTAAAATTCTTCTCTTCCACATGGAAGATGTGGGTTTGATTCCCAGCGAATGCCCCTCACACACAGCCACCACCCCTCTATTGGTGGAGGCCTGCATGTCGCCGTGATGCCCAACAGGTTTCAGCAGAGCTTCCAGACTAAAATAGACTAGGAAGAAAAGTCTCACAATCTACTTCTGAAAATGAGCCAACAAAAATCCTACGGATCACCTTGTCTGATACATAATAGTGAGGACAGCACAAAGTCAGAAAGCACTTCCTTCTACTGTACACGGGCTCACCATGAGGTGGTGCTGACTCAATGGCAGCTGCAAAAACAACATTCCTCTACCAGAACGCAAACTCCACGAGGGCAGAAGTTATGTTCACTGCTGTAATCCCCGCACCTGAAACAGCCCTACTGAAGAGTGAAAACAACTAGGCGCCATCAAGTCAATTTCAACTCATGGCAGCCTCAGGGGTATCAGAGTAGAACTGTGCTCCACAGGATTTTCAGGGGGTGCTTTTTTTAGTAGATCCCCAGGCAGTTCTTCCGAGGTGCCTCTGGGTGGACTCAAAGCTCTAGTTAGCAACAGAACACATAAAACACTTATACCACGTAGGTACTGAGTAAAACGAATAAATACTTGACATGTATTAATCTATTTAATCTTCAAAACAACACTGTGAGGTAATAACTATTGTGTCCATTTTAAAGAAACTAAGAGGTTAAGTAATTTGCTCAGCTATTACACCCAGGATTCAAACCCAGGTGATCTACACCCAAAGAGACAACAGAAATGAGAAGACAGGGCTATTGGTTGAAGGAAAGATCCTGGAGGCAGGACAGAAGTGAAAGAAAGGAAGAGAGGACAGGAGTGGGGAGACCAGAGGCAGGGGAATGAGAAGAGTGAGACCATGAGAGAGAGAGGTGCTGTTTCAGGAACGAGGGTCTAGAAGGGTGGAACTAGAGCAGAGAAGGGGGGTAGACAGAAGAAACTAGAGACAAAAGGGTTTCAGAAAGGAGACTCTGCGAAAGGGAGAGTGAGAAAAGGAAAGAATGATTGGGAGAGAAATAAGTAACTTGCTCAGCTATTACATGATAAAGCCAAGATTCAAACCCTGGAGATGGGGGACTAACGATGGGTCAGGGAAGGGCAAAGACCCCAGAGAAAGAGGAGACCTGGCCAGCACAGGAAGGGATAATATACCAACTAGATGGGGGATATGGGGGCTGAGGGCCTTTGGACAAGATAAGCCCAGGACAAGGAGTGAAGACCAGGGATACACGAAAACAAGGCATGGGGAAGAGAAAGGGACATTTTCCAGTGACAAAAACAACTTTCTACCAACTTCCCCAAACTGAGCTGAAGAAGGAGAATTCAAAGGATTGTCGTTTAGGTCTGTGAGGGGGAGACTGGGAGGACATGGGCAGGGACACTGACGGGGTGGATGTGGTACTAGCTACTCAAGGGGAGGGGGATTCCAAGTGAGGCCACCTGCCTGGGAGCTGAGCCACAGACAGAAGGGCCAAGAATGCCCCAAGTGGGAGGCCTAGGGCGAACACTGGGCACTCTCCACTTAGCTGTCCTGCCTCCTTCCAGTATCCCACTCCACTTCCAAAGACCACTCCTCGACTATGTAGCCCCTCAATTCATCCCCTCTCCTGGACTCAGTTTCCCCGCTTAGCTAGCCATCCAACTCCAACTCTCTAACAGGGTTTACTCAACCAGGTTCACCAGCAGCTTCACCTTCCCACAGCACAACACACTCCCTGGCTAGCCAGCTGACCAGAAGGACAGAATTCTGAATCTTCTGCACCGAGAGGAAGGGTCTTTCTTCTCCCACTCAGTCTTTTCCCGCCAAATGTTTCCCACCCTTGGTCTATCACTGCTCCACATTCCCGAACACCCACCACATTTACTTGGCTATCAGGAACCAAGGCTCCCTTTTACTCTCCCCTTTTCAAACTTCTCTATTTCCACGAAATCATCGGCCTCGCCAGGCCCCTCCACGCAGAGGCGGATGAATGGGGAAACCTGAACTTCTAGCTGATTTTAAGCTTGGGGGGTCCTGAGCCTGGAGCCAGCCAGGATCTCGCCCCCTCCAGCCCAGCGGTGCCTGCCCCCGCCCCAGCCCACTCCTCTCTGGGTCCCTGGTCTTACCAATGGCGGCAGCAGGCCAGGGACGGTGGGGAGGCCCATGTCCGGCCAAGGTGGCCTCTCACTCCCCCATCAGGGCTCAGGACAGTGGCGGCGGCGGTGGCAGTGTCTCGGCGTCCGCGGGGTCCTAAATGGATCCTCGGCCTTGGGGCGTGGGCTTTGAGGGTTGAGGCTCAAGCTGAAGATCACGTCCTGGTCAGGAGACCTCAGACCCCGAAGGCCAGAGTCGGAAGAGAGCTCCGAGAAAATCAGAAAGAAGAGAGGAGGTGGGAGGGGAAGGGAGAGAGGCGGTGTTGCAACTGCAGCTCGACAGGAAGAGCCAGGGGAGGAGACGGGGGAGGGGGCAGTAAAGGTTGTTAACCCTTTGTAGTCCAGTCAGAGAACTAGGGTTTACAGATCCAAATGCCTGGTGCCCCCAACCCGCCAATTTTATACTCCCAGCTGGACACCAAGCTCCCTCCCTCCCCACCACCACCTTGCTTTCCCAAGTGGAACAGCGTTGGAGAGAGACCCAGGGCTTTGGAGTTAGATTCACTGGATTTCAGTACAGAATCCTTTACTTTTTTTTCCATAGCTACATAACTATAGTTTGAACATATATATATATGAAAATATACACAACCGAAGATATACTATTTCAACAATTTCTACAAGTACAGTTCAGTGACATTGGTTACCTTCTTTCAGAATCAGCCAGTTTTCAGCTCTGTGGTCTTGGACATATAACCTAATCTCTCTAAGCCTATTTTCCAATTGGTAAAATGGAGCTAACTTATCTCATACTTTTGCTGTAAAGATATGTTAAGAGAGGACAGAAAAAGCGTCTGATGCCTGATAAATACTCAATGTTCCTTAGGAACTCTCCCCTTTTACCCAGAGTCCCCAACTAACACCCTCCCACTTTCTTAGGAATTAACTCCTACAATGTAAGCCTCAGAGTTAAGATCTACCCCTAGTTTTATGGCCTGCCTGGGGCCTGGTGGCCGTAGTTCTTGCTTTTGACTGCTAACCAGAAGACTGGCAGTTCAAACCCACCAGCCACTCCTCAGAAGGAAGATTGAGCCATCTACTTCTGTACTGATACTGCCTCGGAAACCCAAGGAGATCTGACTCTACAGCAGTGAGCTTGGTTTTTTTTTTGGGGGGGGGGGAGTTGGCACTCCCACTCTGGCAGATCCCCAACTGTTGATCCTGGCTCTGCCACCAGCCAATCATGTGACCTCAATGGAGGCAGGACCTCTGTTGAGCCTCTGTTCTTTGTTAAATGGGGTGACAATGGCTGGCCTGCCTATCTGAGATTAATGAGATCATATCCATGAAGGTTGACAGTTGAACCCACTCAGCGGCACAACAGAAGAAAGGCTTGACAATGTGCTTCTGTGAAGATTATAGCCAAGAAAATCCTATGGGGCAGTTCTATTCAGTCACATGGGTTCACTAGGAGTCAAAACTGACAAGATGGCAGTATAAGTTTTTGTATTACTAGTACAATCCTAATGCCCTTCTTTCGAATATTCTGATACATCAATCAGAATGGACATTAGAGATATCTACTACAACTCTTTCATTTTACAGATGGGGAGATTGAGGCCTGGAGACACACATGTTCCTGCAGAGCCAGCAGGGAGCTCTGGACTCTTGGCTCCCAGTCCAGGGGCTTGTTCACTGCGATAGATAAACTCACTAGCACTTTTCTCTCTGCTTCTTTGAATCAGATCCCAAGCCTGACTTCTAGCCATACCTAGAAGTCCCCCTCTCATTTATGTGGAAGCTCTGGTGGTGTACTGCCTAAGGCATTTGACTGTTAACCAGAAGGTTGGTGGTTCAAACCCACCAGCCACTCCTCTGAAGGAAGACTGGGCAATCTACTTTTGCCTCAGAAACCCAAGCAGGGGTTGCTGTGAGTCAGAATCAACTCGATGGCAGTGAGTTTAGTTTGGGTTTGGTTTGTTCTCATTTATGTAGGACATCTCCCAAATGAATCCCACCACAAGGGCACAACTTGTCCAAATACCCTCTAGGTACAGTGACCTTCCCTAAGCCCAGCCCAGGCTGGAGGTCCTCCAGCGGTTGAGACTGCTAGACATACAGGGAGACCAGAGAGACTGAGGTCCTAGGGCTTTGTGACTTGCAATCACCAGCTGACCACCTACCCCAGAGTCCACTTTTCCCCCGCTAGCCCTTGTCTCCCCTCTGTGATCCCGAGGGCGGAGTATCTCTAGGTGAGAATGGAGCTTGGGTGCTCCACAGAGGTGTATTACCCAATAAACAAGCACGGGCTTTCTTGTGCTTACTTACTAATCTGTAGTGAACAATTTCACAGGGGTTGTACACATGCTTACCTTGCTTACTGGGTACTCGTCCCTGTCAGGGTTTCTACATTTGAAGAGGTTTTGATTCTGTAGGAAAGTGCTGTCAGGTTGGGAGAGAGAAAGATGGCAGCCACACCTGGGAGCAGAATCTTTGATGTGGTGAAAAAATAGGAAAGTCTTTACAACAGACTTAACCTTGCTTGTTGGGTAAGCCAACACTGGTTCTCCCTACTGCTGGGGGGAGCCATCTTCACTCCACCTCACCTTCCCGCTTTTGAAGAAGTGGAGGATTGAAGTTGGGCTCACCTCCACCAACAGACAAGGAAGGCCAAAGTACAGTATTCAAACCAAGCCAAACACACTGTCGTTGAGTTGGACCCAACTCAAAATGACCCCTCCTTGGGTTTCCAAGGCAGTATCACTATGGAAGTAGATTGCCCAACCTTTCTTCTGAGGAGTGGCTGGTGGGTTTAACCTGCCAGCTTTCTGGTTAGCAGTCAAATGCCTTAGGCACTACACCACCAGAGCTCCCAAGTACAGTATTAGTGGACGAAAACTAGAGCTCTTGAACAAGAAGGGTCATTAGAATAAAATGCTAGACTCAGATGGCCTTGTTTCCAATGTGGAGAAGACAGGAGAGCCTCAGCCTCCTTATCTGAAAAACGAGCATTTTACCAGAACCCTTCACGGAGCTAGCTTGATGATTAAATGCATGTAAAGTATTTAGCAGTATTGCCCATACAGTAAGCATTAAGTAAGTGGTAACAATATTAATACCTTGCATTAGTAATCAATAACTTCGATGTCCTTTTTTAATATTACAAAGGATTTTTAACCGTCTGTGTAAACTCTCAAGGCCATTATACATAATAGCCTGGCACAAATGGAGAATTTCTTTCATTGTTTAGGAGAAAAGTTTATTTACTCAATAAGTTTACTGAGAAAATTGGTATTAAATTGTTCGATGTAATTCTGTTTAAAATAAAACAAAAAGGATGATAAGAGGTGAGTAGATTTAGGAATAGGTGAGAACGTAAGACTCTACTCCCTCCAGCAGAAGAGGAAATAATGGTGAGGGAGAGAAGGAGAGAGATGGAGAAATAGGCAAGAACAGACTAGAGGATGACAGAATTGACTGTTAAGGTTTGTGGCGGGGTAACAATGGTGCACAACAACGAAGTGGTGAAGAGAAAATAACTTCAGATAGCAGAGACACCCCCCATGTCTCTCTCTCTCTCTCTCTCTCTCTCTCACACACACACACACATCTACACACGTGTGCGCACATGCGCACACACACACTTCATCCACAGCAACACCTAGTGATTAAAAAGGCATTTCCAAGTCTTTCTCTCTCACACACACACACACATCTACACACACGCGCACACATGCGCACACACACACTTCACCCACAGCAACACCTGGTGATTAAATGGGCATTTCCAAGTCCAGGTCATGTGGACATTCTAGCCTCAACCTTGCCATTCAGATTCTTTGTGACAGGAAGGCTAAGAAGTCATAGGAGACTTGAATTCCAGGCTGGTTTTGTAAGAATCAGCTAGCTGTATGAACTTGGGCAAGTCACTTCACCCACTTAGCTCCATATGGAAAATGAGGCAGTTGAACTGGGCTAACTTAAACCCTTTCTTCTCTAATGCTGAGATTCTAACTCTTAATTATAGGGTCCAGGGGTTGCCATAAATGAGGGTTGGAGACAAGAGATAAGAAGGTGGAAATGAAAGAAGGTAAGGAAAAACATCAGGAGAGGAGAAATGGCAGCAGTTTGCAGTCCGTAAGAGATCCAGCTTTATCCAGCAGGTTCTGCCCAACCCAGCAAAGGATGGGGAGCTGGTAAGAGGGCATGGGGTAGGGGTGGGGCAAGGCTGAGGCTGTGGGAGAGAGCAGTGGAAGGCAGGCTGAGCCTGAGCGCTCTGGCAGAAGACACCATTGTGACACCATCATTTCCCCTTCTTCAGCTTGACTCTGGGAAGGAGAAGTCAGAACCCTTCTACCTCTACTACCTTCTTCCAAGTTTCACTCCCTCCTTTGGCTCCTCAGGACAGGGAGATTGTAATTAAGGGAAATAAAACCAAGATAGCAGGAGAGGTATCCCCAACGTTGACTAGGAGGGTGACTTTTGGGTCCCAGGACTAATGCTGGTGTGGGGGTAGAGAACTGGGGAGTCAGAAAACCAGGGTTTCCATAACACATCCCTTAGCCTCTCCCTGAACCTCAATATCTCTCCTCCTCTTTTTGTGATGACATGAGAATATACAGGTTCTGAGGTTCCCAAAGAAACTGGCCAAAGGCTCATCCTCCTCTACCAGTACCTGGAAATTGATGGGGAGGTGGGGAAATGGGCAAGTGAGGACATCATATTGCCACTGGGTGGTGAATGGGACTCAGCAAATGGAGGCAGACGATTAATGTTAATGGTAGCAGAATTTGGTAACAGAATAGGCGGTTCAAATGTTGGGTTGGGGTGAGTCTACCTAAACACTGTGTGTAGTTCCCCTAAAGGGAGGCATTCCGCCCTCTTCCTTCCACTCGAACATGGTGATAAACACAGAGCAGATGCTCAACAACGCCCATAGAGGAAGGGCCCTCCAGAACCAGTAGAACAGATCGACTCTCCTTAAGGCCCTTGAAGAATGGTCACTTCTGTGGTGAAGCCAAGAGGCGTTGGAGTCTGTCCCCCACTCCAGGACCTCCCAAGAGTATCGTTTCCATGGGACTTACGACCATGCCCTCCCACCTTGGTGGTGCCCCCATCCAACTACCCATTTCTTTATGCAACAAACATTTATTGAGCATCTACCTATTTGTTCCAAGCAAGACAGCGGGCTAGGCCCTGAGCATATATATATGAGCAAGGCTCAGTCCCTGACCACAGGGAACTCCCTCCCAGTCTGATATACAAGAAAGTATATTAGCACTCCAATAGACAGTAACAGTGTGCTAGGGGAGCCCAGGGGAGAGGGGAGTGATCAATTCTGGGGAAGACAAGATAGAGCAGAAGTCTTCACAGAAGTGCTGACAACTGAGCAGGATTCTAAGGAAGGCATAGGAGTTCACCATCAGAAGGCAGGGGAAAGTTCCAGGCTGAGGAAACAGCTTTAGCAAATATGCTGCGATGTGAAGGACACAGGGCAGAGCCACAGGGCTTCAGTTCCACAGGGGTGTGGGGTAGATGAGTCCAGACAACTCCTAGGGCTGACTGGGAATGGCCACGCTGTCACTGCATTGGTCTGCTGGAGCACTGATCCCTGGGGAATCAGGGAAGGGGAAATGTCCAACAACAAATAAAGGGGGCTTTCAGGTGGGGTTCCCCACCCAAGTTCAAGAAGAGGAGCAGCCATCTGTGTCACAGGAAAGGAGTGTGGCCAGGCCAGTCTGGGGCTGGCCTCCGTTGTCTTCGGGTAGGAAACCTGTGCATGCCTTTGTGTGCCTTTGTTTGTGTTTTGTCCTGGTCATCAGTCGTTGCCTAGGAAAGTTCTTTGCCAAAGCTCCAAGTTTGGCTTAGCTGATCCAGGGGAAAAGGAGACTTGTCCACATTTAGGTGGGGAAATCAAAGTGCTCTAGAGGCAGGGACAGGGGAACAGGGCAAGAGCTGGGGCAATCCTGGGCCACTTCATTGAACCCTGTTCTCTAGGGCAACTTCCTGAGCTCCTTACCCATCCTGCTTTCCTCACCCACACCAAAGGCATTAGGGCAGCTCTGAAAGGAAGCCCCACACACCCCTTTGTCCTACCAAGGCTGGCTCCCTCCCACCAAGGGAAGCATCTGCCTGTGGCCGCCGCTGTCCTGCTCCCTCAGGGCTCCTCTGACATACAGGCAAAGGAGTTGGGCTCTGCTGAGCCTAAGGGAGATGGGCGGGGGCCTAGAGTGGCATAGGCAGGTGGAGGGGCTGTCAAGGCTGGGGAGGCAGTAGGGCCAGGCTGAGACGGGGAGGGGGATGTAGGGTGGGGACAGAAGCGGGAGGGAAGAGAGGACGCTGGAGTGGACGCCACCTCCTGGGCACCCCTACTTCCTCTTCCTGGAGACCAGTATCGGCTTCGGAACCTCCGGAGCAGCATAAGGAATGTGATGACCAGGAGGTCAAAGATGAGCTCAGCCATCTCCACCACAGACAGCACAGAAGAGCCAAACCACAGGCTCCACTGGCTGCCTAAGGTAGACAGGAGAGTGACCATCTGTGGGGGGAGAGCCACACTGACTGCTGGGGCAGAGCAGCTGTGCACTCCCCAGCCCCTATCCCCAACGGAGACGTTGTCCTTTATCCCTGGGACTCTGTCCGCCCTACTCTGTCTCTCAGTGGCCCCCTGGCTTCTGCTCTTCCTCCTTGGGAGCACACAGCTTCTGATTACTGGGCCAGAGTCCAAGGCAGCTGAAATTGAGCCATGTCTCAAGGGCCTTCTAGTCATCTGGCATCCCTGTCCCTCCCACCACTCCAGAAACCTCACCCACCCAGCCTGAGCTCTCCTTCTTCCAACCCTCTCAACCTCACTCTCTACTCCTTACCCCTTTTCCTTGGTGCCCTATCTTAGAGGCCCAAATGCTTCTTGTCCCGCAGAAGCAAACCTCATTTTCTCTGACATCCTGTTCAAACCCCCAAAAGAATCACAGGCTCAATGAGGCAGGACATACCGTGACAGACGGAGACTCAGAATTGGTTTTGTAGTTCAGCTCCTTGAAGAAGATGTTAAGTTTGGCAACTCCATTTCTTTGGAGTTGAGGAGAAAGTGGGAAAAAATGACAGAGGATTAACTTCTCAGATGATTACAAACACCCTCCTCTAATTGAGTGTATTAATTAATTGCTCCTTGATCTATTCCCTCCCAAGGATTCCTTTCCAAGGTTGGGACCAGGCTAGGACTGACCTTTTGTTGTTGATGGTGTAATTGTTCTGTCTGGATAGCATCTGGTAGACCCAGTCCTAGAAAAGAATGGGGGCATCAGTGGGGTCACCCCTATACTCTTTAACTTACAGGGTTGGGGAGTTAGGTCAAACATAGCCCATACACATATGACCGGAGAAGTCCACAGCATTCCATACACACACTCACACACATTCTCATATCCCTCTCTTTCCCACTTTACCTGGGATGTCACTGAGGGCCACCGTGAGTAACCAGCAGAGAGTTGGTAGCTGGTCACACTGGAGAGGGAGAAAGGTGCTCAATGATGCAAGGTAGGGCTTTCCCATTCAAACATCTAACTCTGCCCAGCCAAGCAGCCAGCTGCCCAACCTGTGACCTGGGGGAAAGGACACTCACCTGCATGGCTTCCGGCATTTGGTGAAACAGCCCAGGCTATCCATGGAAAAGGCAACCTGCAGCTTATAGTAGCAGTAGCCTGTGGGTGCAGAGAGGTGCCTCAGACACCACAACCTTCTCCACTCTACACACAAGAGGTCTCCTCTTATCTTAAAGATCCCTGGACATTCACTTCACAAGAGCATCATATAGCATTACAATGATCCTCATGAGCATTTGTGCAGCATCAAAACACATATAAGAAATTAAGCTAAGATGGAAAAAACAAAAACAAAATGCATCTATGTAAAGCTGTGTAGGATATGGACAAAAATTTAAACAGGAAAATGGGAATAATTGTGGTATAAGAATAATGGGATTAAACCACAGAGATCCACTTCACACCCACTAGGATGGCTATTATCAAAAAGGCAATAACAAGTGTTGGCAAAAATGTAGAGAAATTGGAACCCTCATATAGTGCTGGTGGGAATATAAAAGGGTATAGCAGCCACTTTGGAAAATAGGCTGGCAGTTCCTAAAAAGGTTAAACATAGAGTTACCCTATGACCCAGAAATTCCACTCCTAAGTATATAAAAGAATTGAAAATATATACCCACATAGAAACTTGTACAAACTTTTATAGCAGCACTATTCATAATAACCAAAAAGTGGCACCAACCCAAATTCCAATAATGGATAGATAGCTAAATAAAATGTTATTTAGCCATAAAAAAGAACGAAGTACTGACACATGCTACAACATGGATGAACCTTGAAAATACTGTGCTAAGTGAAAGAAGCCAGCCACAAAGGATCACACATTGTATGATCCCATTTATATGAAATATTCAGAACAGACAAATCCATAGAAACACGAAGTAGATTAATGGGTCCCAGAGTCTGAAGGGAGTGATGGGTAGGGTAGAAGGACTGGGGAGAGACTAATGGGTATAGGGTTTCTTTTCGGGATGATGAAAATGTTGTAAAATTGATTGTGGTGATGGTTGCACAACTCTGAGAATATACTAATGAACCACTGAATCGTACACTTTAAATGGGTGGATTGTATGGTACATGAATTATATTTCAACAAAACTGTTATCATAAAAAAGAATATATTGCTTAATGGGCACTGAGTTTCTGTAAGCGTGATGAAAAAATTTGGAAATGGACAGTAGTGATGGTAACACAACCCAGTGAACATAATTACCCACTGCTGTCAAGTCAAACCCAACTCACAGCAAACCCTCCTTGGGTTTCCGAGGTGGTATCACTATGGTAGTAGTTTGCCCAACCTGCCTTCCGAGGAGTGGCTGGTGAGTTTGAACTGCCAGCCTTCTGGTTAGCAGTCAAACACTTTAGGCACTATGCTACCACAGCTCCTCTATGCTACCAGAGCTCCTGAACATAATTAATGTTACTGAATTGTACATGTAAACATGGTTGAAATGGCAAATGTTTTATTATACACATTCTACCACAACTTAAAGAAAAACCTCAATGAGATATCACTGCACACCTACTAAAGTGGCATAAACAAAAAAAACTGACAACACCAATTTTGATGAGAATTGATATAGAACTCATATGGTGCTGGTGGGATTGTAAAATGGCACAATCTCTTCAGAAAAGGTGTGGCAGGTTCCCATGAAGTAAAACATACATCCTCCCTTTCAACTTTCTATAAGGTACTTACCAAAACAAATGGAAACATAGACAAAAGGGGGGAAAGTAATAATGAGATTATGGATGCCACCATCCCCATTTACCAAGTTCTAAGTAACATTATAAGGAGGTCTGGTGCTACAGTGGTTAAAGCATTCAGCTGCTAACCAAAAGGTCAATGGTTCAAACCCACCAGATGCTCTGAAGAAGACAAATGAGGCAGTCTGCTTCCCTAAAGATTTACAGCCTTGGAAACCCAATGAGGGTTTCTATGAGTCACAATTGATTCAATGGTAGTGAGTTTGGTTTTGGTTTGGAAGTAAGATTATTTCATCATTCTTGCTACTTTTAGTCACTCAGACTTCCCTCTTATATCTCCCCCAGTATGGCGGACCCATTTTCTGACACAATCCCTATAACACCCAGTCCTCACAACTTCCCAGCAATCAATAGTGTTATTTTTCTCTCACAGATCTTTTTCAAACTCTCAACAACCTAGAAACAATGTTTGGGAGGTAGTGGGCTAGGAGTCCCAGCTCTGCATGTCCTGGGACGTGTCACGTCCTCCCTCTGGGCCTCAGTTTGCTCATCTGTGAAAGGAGAAGATGAGCAGAGATGGCCTCTGAATTTCCCTCCAGTTCTTTTTTTTTTTTTTTTACCTTAAATTTTTATTCTGATTTTGGTGAAAGTTTACAGAGCAAATTTTGTTTCATGTCATTGACTTCAATCCCCCATAATGTAGCAGCTCTCTTCCCACTTCTTCCCCCATAGTTACTTCTTCCCTGTGTCCTTCCCTCCCATGCACTGCTGCCCCCCCACACTAGCTGTGCAAACACTGCCCTTCTGTTCTCCCATGACTGATAGATTGATCACTCCAAGGAGTGTACCCACCTGATGTAAATGTTTACCCCATTTACCTGTCTATTGTTTGGCTGGAATCCACAGAAGTGAGTTCAATTTCAGACCTGAAGGGTAACTAGGGGCTATAGTCTCAGGGGTCTCCCCAGGCTCTATCACACCAGCAAACTTGGTCTTTTCTCATGATTTTGAGTTTTATTCCACATTATTCTCCCACTCTATCTAGGATCTCCTGCACGGATCCCTCTGCATTCTCTCCAGTTTCAATGTGCTAGGCTCCTCTAAGTTCAGAGAGACAAGAAATGGGAGACAGCAGGAGACAGGAAATACAAGCAGGGGGAGCTAATAGGGGCTGTGCAGACCCAGGGAAGAAATGAGGCTGAGTGAAAGATAAACAGACAACCAGGATGGGGAAGTTCACTAAACTCTGGGGTGAAACAGTCCTTCAAGAAGGGAGATAGATGCCTCCATGTCTGCAGTGTCCGTGGCCATGTTTCCTGAGGAGTGTGAAGGCGCTATCTCCCCCGGCATTGGCAACTGGCCTACCTACTATCACTCACCCAGTGGGAGGGCAATGCCCAGGGGAGCGCAGGGAGAAGGAACCATGGGCGGCCTGGTCAGCTTTGCCAGCCAAGGCCAACTCTGGCTAGATAAGAGCATGTGCACCAGGAATGCAAATTCCCGAGCTGATATATTTTCTTGTTTGGGATTTGCTCTCTGTTTCCTAGTACACAGCTTCTCTGCTGAATAACTCTGCTGAAGTAGAAAGAGAAAGTAATTTGTCACCCCTAGTCCAAGATGAGGAGGAGATTCCAGTGCTCACAATTATTTTTTTGATTGTGTCCTCCTACGAGTAAGAAATTTTTAAACAAGCACCTCCAATATGTATTTGATTTATAAATTACATACCTGTACTATTAAATGTATACATTGTTGTTGTTGTTGTTGTTATGTGCCGTCGAGTCGGCCCCGACTCATAGCGACCCCTCCTTGGGTTTCCGAGGCAGTATCACTACGGAAGTAGGATTGCCCAACCTTCCTTCCGAGGAGTGGCTGGTGGGTTTGAACCGCCAGCCATCTGGTTAGCAGGCAAGTGTCTTAGCCACTATGCTACCAGAGCTCCCAATGTATACATAGGTACATTGTAAAACATATATAATATAGAAAACATTAAGGAAGGACATCAATACATGTAACTTCTAATATTTTCTTCCTGCACCTCAGTGAGTAGCTTGTGTGCCCCTCCCCCACCCCACCTCCCCAGCACTCCAGTTTGGAGACCAGCATCCTAGAGGCTGAGTAAGGTGTAAGCAAAAAACATTCCTGCTAAGCAGCCCAAGGGGTGAGCTGGGGGCACGGTTGACAGAGCAGAGCATGGGCTGAAACCTCAGTGGGCAGAGTAAGGAACCACTGGGATGACTGCCCCTTCCGGCTCAAGATTTCCTTCACGTGCTCTTCCTTCCTTATGCTGCAGATTATTTTTAAACGGGCAATTCCTTGACAAACACACAGAAGCCAAAACAGAGACAGAGAAACTGTGAGGGAGGAACAGAGGGAGTAAGAGGAAAACAGAGACAGAGACTAAGGGCTGAAAAACAGGCAGAAGAGGAAGAATTCATCAGGGCTGCTGGGAGTCAGAGGCTACCCCCACAGAGAAAGGAGAGAGCTGATGGGAAAGTTCTGGGGTCACACGGGGAGGGACAAGGGGCTCCCAGGAGTCTCACCCCAGGAGTTATGCTTCCAGTAGTCACAAAACTCCACATCCTGGGGCTTTGGATAGGAGATATAGGCACAGCCACATTCCTTGATCATGTTCTCCTGGAAGCAGGAGTGAATACACACCTGGAAAAGAAGAGAATGAAGAGGAAAGGAGGTTCAGACCTGATGGACCGTCCGCATTCACTCTGCACAGCCCAGATGGAAAAGTGCAGGAAATGACAAAAATTCCCTGCGCTGCACCTCCAGCCCTCTTTCCACAAACTTCCCTACCAGGCCACACCTTCAACCCCCTTGCCCGCAAAATAAACACTCTGCAGCCTTGACTGACTGGCATGTAGGGCCTCACCTGCTGAGTGTACTTGGAAAAGTAAAGGTTCTTGACGGGGATATCGCTGCCATTCTCAGTGCAGTCGCCATAGTTGCCCCCAAGTCTGTCCAGAGTTTCCTGTGAAACCCCACACCAAGAGGTCAGAAGTCAGAGCAAGTGGCCCAGGCCACTACCTGGATCCTGTCTTCCCTCAGCCTCAGGGGTATCTCACACCCTTCCAGCCTCTTCTATTAGGTCACCATCTCGAAATATGTGTCCCCAGTAGCCCCCAATGTCCATCCCAGCGCCACTTCCAAGGACACTGAGCCCAGAGAGCCATTCTTAAGTATCCCCTGATCCCTTTCTCAGCACCTTCCCACCCAAAGCCCACTCCCCAGGTCCCTACCTCCCAATGTCCACTCTGCCAGACTCCTTGTCCCTCATTTCTGCTTCTGAAGACCTCCATAAGCTCAATCCCCACCCTACATGACCTCCCTCCACAGTCTCTGGCTGCCAAGTTCATCTTCTCAGACCCTTTCTAGTTTAGAGCTCTCTGCCCAGGTCTCCCAGTCAGCCTCCTTGCCTTCTTCATGCTGATGGAGGTCTCCACACCAGGCCTCAAATTAAAGCCACCATCATCCATGAAGGCAGGCTCATTCTGCCCGTGCACCATGACCCTGGCCCCCGTCACCGTGGACAGCAGCGGGATGAAGTCATTCTGCTCTGTGCGCAGCACCAGGGACAGGCCTGGTGACATAAGGGGGTGGGGAGAGAGAAAGAAAGAATGTGGAGATGGATACCAACTCATCTACCTGGCCTGGTCTCTAGGAGATCAAGGCCAGAAAGACCTACAAATGGATTTGGCACCCCGGCAGGTGATATAGTGGTTAAGGCATTTGGCTGCTAACCAAAAGGTTGGTGGTTCAAATCCACCAGCTGCTCCACAGAAGAAAAATGGGGCAGTCCGCTTCCATAAGGATGTACAGCTATGAGTTGGAATCAAATTGATGGCAGTGAGTTTAGGGTTTTTGTTCTGTTTTGTTTTGTTTTTGAGCTGGAGTCAAAGAAGGGCTGGTGGTACAATGATTAAAGCATTTGGCTGCTAACCTAAAGGTCAACAGTTCAAAACCACCAGCCACTCCACTAGAGAAAAGACCTTGCAATCTGCTTCCACCAACCACCAAACCCATTGCCGTCATGTTGATTCTGACTCATAGAGACCCTAGAGGACAAAGTAGAATTGCCCCATACAGTTTCCAAGGCTATAATTTGTATGGATGTAGACTGTCACATCTTCCTCCTACAGAGTGGCTGGTGGGTTCACATTACCAACCTTTTGGTTAGCAGCTGAGCACTTGACCACTACTCCACCAGGGCTCCTTCCATAAAGATTACAGCCTGAGGAACCCTATGGGACATGGCTTAGTTATCTAATGCTGCTACAACAGAAATACCACACAAATAAGTGGCTTTAACAAATTTATTTCCTCACAGTTTTCAAATAAATAAATAAATAATCCACTGCCATCAAGTCAATTCCAACTCTTAGTGACCCCCATTGGGTTTCCAAGACTTTCAATCTTTATGGAAGTAGATTGCCTCATCTTTCTCCCATAGAGTAGCTGGTGGGTTTGAACTGCAGACTTTGGGGTTAGCAGCTGAATGCTTTACCCACTATACCACCAGAGCCCCTTTCCTCACAGTTTAGGCAGCTAGAAATCCAAATTCAAGTGCCGGTTCTAGGGGGAGGCTTTCTTTCTTTGTCAGCTCTGGAGGAAGATCTTTGCCTCTTCTGAGCTTCTGCTCCTGGGAGATCTTTACGGGGCTTGGCATCTCTCTTCCCCCATCTCTGCTGTACTCACTTATTTCACCTCTTTTATATCTCAAGAGATATTGATTCAAAATACACCCTATAGTAATCCTGTCTCATTAACATAATAAAGAATCCATTACTAAATGGGAGGATAACCACAGGCATAGAGGTTAGATTACAACACTTATTCTGGGGAGACACAATTCAATCCATAACAGTTCTACTCTATATGGATTTTACTTCATATAGATATAGACTAAATCCATATGGATAAATCCATATAGATTTTACTTCAATCCATAACAGTTCTGTCCTATAGGGTTGCTTGCTATGAATCAGAATCTACTCTATAGCATACAAGAACACAGCTGGAGTATGGAGGTAAGCAGGAAGGCCTGGGACAGGATTTCTTTTATACCTGGAATGGACCATGCAGTGCCCAAAGGGGAGAATGAACAGAGAGGACTCCTTTCAGGAGAGAGGTGGACATGTGGTGTGAGGCCCAGAAGGCACACAGCATCTCCACTTACAGGGATGTGAGCAGAGGTATATCTAAGGTATGGCAGGTATGGCACATGCCCTGGGAACCATTTGAAAGGGGGAACCAATGAGCAGTTTCTATTAGTCAACACTGTTTCCATCCCCAGCTGTAAGATCCTTCAGCAATTTAAAACTAATTGCCATAGGCTCTATATTCCCCAGTTGGATGTGAGCTCAAGGCCAGTGAATGTAGGCTGGCTGGTGGGAAGGGCCTGGGATTGAGGGAAGGGGGAAGTGCTCACCATTGTTGATCCCAGGCAGAGAAGACATCCAGAGGTTGGAATTGTTCTTGTGATTGAAAGTGTAGCAGTTCCCATACATGAGGTGGTAGAAGCGAGAATAATTCCTTATCAGAAGAGAAAGAGTAGAGTCACAGGAAGTGTAGGGGGTCAGAGGGAACAGGGAGGTGAGGCAGAGGAAAATCTCCACTTCCTCAAACTCCGCTGCACATATGGCTTTCAGAGCCATCTGTTTTCTCATCAGATAGCTTTACATAAGCTCTTCAGTTGTTCCTCCCAACAACCTGTGAAGGTACCATTCCTACATCACAGAAGAGGAAGCTAAGGTTCAGCGAGGTCAAGTAGCTGGCCAAAGGACACAGTCAGTGATGATAAACCTGTGACTCAAGCCCAGGTCATGTACCTTCTAGCCCAGTGCTCTTCCCATCAGACTACCCAGCCTCACTTACGTGCTGTCTCGTGGCTTCTCTTGTGTTGCTATTTTGCATTATGAAAACTATTGCAGTAACTTCTCACATGCCTAAAGCTTGGGTACCCAATTGGATTGTGAGTCCCTTGAGGACAGTACCACAGCTTGCTCCTTGCTATACAGAAGTAAATTGCCCAGCTTTCCTTCCGAGGAGTGGCTGGTGGGTTCGAACCACCAGCCTTCTGGTTAGTAGTCAAATGCCTTAGGCACTATGCTACCAGAGCTCCTATATAGGAGATAGTTAATAAATATTTATTAAGTGAATAAATGAAATGGAGAGAGGAAGAGAACAGGGTTAGAGGAAAGAATGAGACCAATGGAGAGCATGGAGCTGAAAAAAGATCAGATCCCTGGGCAAGAATGAGGCCAAGTGTCCTCCTTAGGCCTCCTTCTTCAGCAAGTCTCAAACTGTAGAGCCTAAACTGGGCTGTGACAAGTTTGAAAAGGGAGGAAAAGGAATCATAGCAGCAACATAGGTGCAAGAGGGATAGAATTTGGCAGCAAATCATAGGTTCTAGAATAGAGAGGCTGTAGGGGGTTGTAGCAAGAGCCTGCAAAGGGGGTAGAGGAGATCTGTGTTCTAACTACCCTGCCATCTTGGCGCTGGTGATGGGAGCAAGGGAGAAGGAGATGAGGCTTTAGTCTGTGACAGGCAGGGAGGAATGAAGAGAGAGTAGGAAGGAAGAGAGGGCTGGCAGAGATAAGGAGTGAGGAAGCTGAGTTCTAGCTGTATAAAGTTGAACAAATCACTTTTTCTAAACTCATTCTCCTCATCTGTAAAATGAGGAGATTGGAACAAGATGATCTGGCCTTGAAGAACAAACGCATAGAATAAGCACTAGCTATTACTTTTGTTGTTGTTCTTATTCCTATTAGCTGAAACAGTGGCACATTCTAGGAAGTGCTAGGACGTCAGCACTGCCAGAGCACAGGCTGGGTTCAAGGAGTAACTGAAGAAAAGGCTAAGAGTGAGCAGAGACCAGAGCTGAAGGGACTGACAGCCCCGCTCCCTGGGAGAACAGAGGAGTGAACATCATGGACAATATTTGGCCACTGGAAGCAACAGATTAGATGGAACAGTATGGGTAGATTTTAAAATCATAGAGCTTAGTGGAAAAAAAGTAAGGGTCTTTTTTTCCCTCAAAAACACACACAAAGAGATATACATTAAGCATATTAATATCATTGTCTACGAGAAGCATTATAATGCAATGGTTAAGAGCACAGATTCTGGAACTAAATTACTTATTATCTGAATCCCGACTTTAACAAGTATTAGCTGTGGGGCCAAATAAATTACTTAATCTCTCAGGGCCTCAGTTTCCTCATCTGTAAAATGGGGATAATAAAAGTACCTACCTCATAGGAGTATTGTGAGATTTAAATTATGCTTAGAATGGTACCTAGTAAATAATAAAAACCAAAAAAAACCACTGCCATCGAGTTGATTCCGATTCATAGCAGCCCCCATTGGGTTTCCAAGGCAGTAATCTTTACAGAAGTAGATTGCCCAGTCTTGCTTCCACAGAGTGGCTGGTGGGTTTGAACCACTAACCTTCTGGTTAGCAGTCAGATGCCTTAGGCACTGTGCTACCAGAGCTCCTTAGTAAATAGTAAGCACTATGTAAATTTACTATTAAGATTATAGGGAAACAGAATGTATAAAATTAAAAGGACAGACAATAACAGATGTTAGGGAGAATGTAGAGAAATTGGAATACTCATGTATTGCTGTTGTGATTATAAATTAGTGCAACCACTTTGGAAAACAGTTTGGCAGTTCCTGAAGTGAATAAACGTAAGAGTCACCATGTCTTTTAGGTGTGTCGATTTCAACTCATAGTGATAGCATGTGACAGAGTAAAACTGCCCCATAGGTTTTCTAGGTTATAACCTTTACAAGAGTGGATCACCAGATCTTTCTCCAGTGGAGAAGCTGCTGGGTGGGTTCGAATCACCAAATTTCTGTTAGCGGCCATGTGCTTAACTGTTGTACCACCAATGATTCCACTCAGATGTATATACTCAAGAGAACTAAAAAAACATATCCACACAAAAACTTGTACATGAATGTCTACAGCAACATTATTCATAATAACCAAAAAGTAGAAACAATCCAAACATCTATCAACTCATGAAGAGATAAACAAAACATAGTATATTTATATAATGAAATTTGGCCATAAAAAGGAATGAAGTTCTGATACGTGCTATGGCATAGATGGATCTTGAAAACACAATGATAAATGAAAGAAGTCAGCCACCAAGGGCCACATATTATATGATTCCATTTATATGAAATGTCCAGAACAGGCAAATCCATAGAGATCTAGTTGGTAGTTTCCATGGCTGGGAGAGGGGGAATGAGGAGTTACTGTGAATTGCTATTAAAAAAAAAAAAAAAAACACTGCCATAGAGTCGATTCTGACTCATAGTGACCCCCATTGGGTTTCCAAGGTGGTAATCTTTATGAAAGTAGATTGGCTCATTTTCCTTCCACAGAATGGCTGCTGGGTTTGAACCATCAACCTTCTGTTTAGCAGTCAAATGCCTTAGGCACTGTGCCACCAGAGCTCCTTGTTAGTTGGTACAGGTTTCTTTTTGGGAGTGATAAAAATATTCTAAAATTAGATGGTAGTTATGCCACTGAGTTATATAGATTAAAAGGGTGAGTTTTATGCTATGAGAATTATATCTCAATAAAGCTATTTAAAAAAAAAAAGGATTATATTTAAACCAAAAATATTCCCTGAAGTGTTCTTTAATCCAAAGAACAGTTCAGCTTAACTAATAAAGAATATCTGCTTTGAGCGTTGTGCTCTTTTAAGATCTATCTGTATAGGTTGAGATTGACAACAGCAACTGGAAAGGTTAGATAGGACACTTAAGGGGCAGGAACAATTTAGAAAAGGAGGGTGAGAATGGTTGCACACTCAAGGAATATAATCGATGCCACTGAACTGTACACGTAGAAACTACTGAATCGGTATATGTTCTGCTGTGTGTATTTTCAACAACAACAACAAGAAAATAAAGTATATATTTAAAAAAATTATAGAGAGAGGGGAAAAGGGTGTAGGACGTGAAGGTGGAATAAGAAAATCATGCTAAAGAGCTTCACTTTGATTCTGACAGCCATGAGAGAGTGAAGGATTCTGATTCCAACTGATTCAGAACAGTGAAGTATAAAGCCACCTGTGGTTGCAGAGTGAAGGAAGAATTTAGAGACAAGAAGACAAATTGGGAGGTGATTACAATAATCTAGGTGAGAAATAATGAAGTGCAGAGCTAAGGTGACCTAAGTGCCGAGACAAAGATGAAGTACATGGACTTTCCGTTAATGATGAGAATGGCAGCAGATGGAAGGTAGAGTCAGAGGACCAGGATGAAAACTGCAGATGGGAAGGCAGGAAGGTGACAGTTAGAGCCACTCAAGTGGCAGGTGTGGGCTGACCCAGGCTCAGGTGCTGCTACTGCCACATTTCCCAGCTGCCAGCTTCTGTCTTCAAAACAAACACAAAGACTGGAGACGGGAACAAAATCCTGTGCTGGGCAGAGTGAGTGCAAGGGGTAAGGAGTAGGGGCAGAAGCAGTTGACACCTGGCCCTGCTGCCATTTTCTAGTGACATAGGAGAGGAAGGTTCCCTGCAGAGTGGAGTGCTTCCTCAGGACCCGTCCTCGGGCAAGCAGAGACCCCCATGAAGTGAGGAACAGAAATAGGAGAGGAAGGTAGGCTAGGAGGGGCCATAGTCTACAGAAGGACCTCCTTCGCTCTTAGCCTCTCCCAGCCCTCGAGAGCTGGCAGGTGCTGTGACTTCTCTGCGAGGATATTATGACAAGGAGTGGTAACAAAGAGAATGACTGATAGGCATTACAAGAGCGTGGGAAGAATTCTTAGCTGGGGCTGCCTGTGACCTTGGACAAGTCACTTCACCTCTTCGAATACAAGAATAATGAGACTGAAAGCACTTTGTAGCTTACAAAGAGCTCTCCCATTTGTTATCTATGCAGTTGGTATAACTCTTGAGGCGGCTGTTATCATCTTCATCACTTGAGCCAAAGTGCCAGGAGGGCAAGGATTTTTTTTTTTTTTTTCCTTTGATGTACCTCAAGTACTGAGAGCAGTGACTGGCACATAACCTTGACATTAAAAAATATTTGTTGAATGAATATTAAATTAATCTCTCCCCCAACCCCATTTTATAAACAAAGAAACTGAGGCTCTGAGGAGTGATGTGAAATGTTCAAAGTTAGCTGGCAAGGAAGGAACACAGCCAGAGCTGGAATTCAGATGTGGTCCCTAAATCCAGGGTTATTTTTCCATCACACCACTACTGCCCATGTCATCTGAGAGAGGAAAGTATAGGACCAGGCCCTTTTGAGTTTTGATGCTAGTGAAAAAGAGGCCTCAGAAAGATAGAGACAACCAGGCTTCTAGCCCTTGGTTTCTCCAAGCGGAACTCAAGGCCCAAGTTTCCCAGAGCATCCATATGGAACTATCCCAGCAGAGCAGGGAGAGGCAAAATCTGCAGGGTGATCCCTTGGGGCAGAAGCATGGGCCTAAGATCAAGCCTTCCCCTTTCCCTGCTGGTAGGCACTTATTTAATCAACAAGCATTTTCTGGGTCTCACCCAGGCTGGCCCAGGAAAAGGGGCTCTATCAGGAGCACAGAGCCAGGCAGGAAGGACTCACGCCTGGCTGCAGGAGTTCTGGTTGAAGCGGCAGGCAAAGATGAAGTTGTCTGGTGTGTCCTCCTCCAGGGATGGTGAGCCGTTAGGCAGACGCGACAGAATGTTGATGTAGTGGAACCGGTACCACTCCCTCACTGCGTCCACCCCTGAGGAGTATGTCTGGTAGAAGCAGTCCGATTTGTTCTTGTTGCACTGGACGTAGAAATCAGAGGGTAAGAGGGCCAGCAGCACAAGACAGGCAGCAGGGCAAGGCCATGGTCGAGGAATGACAGGTCTAGGGTCCTGAGGACTGCTGGAAAGGGGTGAGGAGCCAGTGGTGGGGAGTGATTGGGCAAAGGAAGGAGTCCTTGGGTGGCACAAATGGTTAAGCGTTCAGCTACTAAAGGTTGCTGGTTGGAACCCACCCCAGAGGCAACTGAAAGAAAGGTTTGGTGATCTGTTTCCAAAGGTCACAGTCTTGAAAACTGTATGGATCCCAGTTCTACTCTGAAACACATAGGGTACCATGTCAAAACAGACTCAGTGGTAACTAGTTTGGTTTTGGGGCGGAGGGAGGAGACCAGGAGATGTGCACAGAGGGTTGCTGTTCATTTATATAGCCTCTAAGGAAGGGTAGAGGGAGCTCTGGTGGCGTAGTGCCTAAGGCATTTGACTATTAATCAGAAGGCTGGAAGTTCAAGCCCACCAGCTATTCCTTGGAAGGAAGGTTGGGCAATCTACTTCCGTAGAAATATCGCCTCAGAAACCCAAGGAGGGGTCGCTAGGAGTCAGATCCAACTCCATGGCAGTGAGTTTGCTTTGGAAGGAAGGGTGGGGTAAGGAATCTTCCCCACACTTCACTGATGGGAAGACTGAGTTTGTCCCAGCAGCAGGAGCTGGGACTAGAACCCAGGTTTCCTGGTAGAATGACCCACTCTTACTAAAGGGAGCATCCTTTTCTCATTCCCTCTGCTCCTCTCCCATTTCTTCTCTTATTCTCTGTTGTATTTTTTCACAGGTAATCTGGGGTTACAAACAAGATCCATTCCTAAACGTATCTTTAAATCAAATTTGTAAACAGGTGCATATGGTTCTTATTTAGCCTTACTTTAGTGCAAGAAAAGGAGCTCTGGTGGTGCTGTGGTTAAAGCATCGGGCTGTTAACCAAAAAGTCAGTAGTTCAAACCCACCAGCTGCTCTATGCGAGAAAGATGAGGCAGTCTGCTTCCATAAAGATTTATAGCATTGGAAACCCTATGGGGGCAGTCCTACTCTGCTCTATGGGGTTGCTATGAGTCAGAATTACTTGATGGCAGTGGGTTGGGTTTGGTTTAGTGCAAGAAACAGTAGTTAAAGCATTGGGCTGCTAACCAAAATTTGGTCACCAGCTGCCCACTGGGAGAAAGATGAGGCAGTCCACTTCCGTGAAGATTTACAGCCTTGGAAACTCTATGAGGCAGTTCTACTCTGTCCGAAAAAGGGCCACTATAAGTCGGAATCCACCCAATGGTAGTGGGTTTGGTTTTTTTGGTTTTAGTGCAAGAAAAAGGCTCCAAGACTTTTCAATGATTTAAAAGCTGCACCTGCAGTAAGTGAAGATGATTGTGATAAAGAATTTGTTGCAATTAGGGGTTGGTTCAATCATTTCAGAGTGAGGACAAATTTACATAACATTAAAGTTGTTGTTATGTGCTGTGGAGTAGGACCCCACTCATAGTGACCCCTCCTTGGGTTTCCGAGGCAGTATCGCTAGGGAAGTAGATTGCTCAACCTTCCTTCCGAGGAGTGGCTGGTGGGTTTGAACGGCCAGCCTTCTGGTTAGCAGTCAAGTGCCTTAGGCACTATGCTACCAGAGCTCCCTAACATTAAAGGGTGTACAAATTATCATTAATTCAGACTTTCCTAACCCAGGGACTTTTTTGGTTTTTTTTCATCTTCTTTACTGTCTCCTTATTCTCATTTTAGACCCTCAGAGCCTTAGCTCCTCACCACACACGAGGTACCTGAGTATGATGGAAGGGAGTGGGGTGGGAAAGAAGAGACCAAAACCAAAACCAAAACCAAATCCAAACCCACTGCCCTCGAGTGGATTCTGACTCATAGCGACCCCATTGCATTTCCGAGGTGGTAAAATCCTTACGGAAGTAGATTGCCCAGTCTTGCTTCAGCGGAGTGGCTGGTGGGTTTGAACCACCAATCTTCTGATTAGCACTCAGATGCCTTAGGCACTATGCTACCAGAGTTCCTTGGGAAAGAAGGGAAGATGCCTGTAATATTGAAAGGTGCATTTTCCACAGCAGACATGACTCCCTGCTTCATAAACGCTACATGTAGGCCTCCAGCTAGGAGACCGCACAAGCCGATGGACAGAGAAATGTTATTATTCATTCATTCATTCCCAGCAAGCCTACTGGGTGCCCCACCACCACTACTTCATATCACTAGGCAACAGAGGCGGGGTCAGGACAGGGAGAGGAGTCCTGGGAGAAGGAGAAACCAGTAGGGTTAGGGGTGAATGGGCGGGGCTTCTCCCGTAGGTCGGTGGGCGTAGCCACCTGGGGGCGGGCCTTACCAATTGGAAGCCAATCTTCCAGTCCCTCCTGTCCACCTGGGGGTTGTTGTCCTGCACGCTGGAGGATGCGCTGCGGGCATTGCGGGACTTGTAGGGTGGGGACGGCACCTGCACGCGCTGCAGGGGATGCGGCAGGGTCCCCAGGAGGTCGCGGCGGCTGCGAGGATGGGCCCTGAGGATGTCAGAGCAGTTGTATTTATACAGGTCGAAGAGTGTCTGCTCTGTGATGCGGTCCAGCTCCTCCAACTTTTCTTTAATTTCGGGATATCTGGAGGGGGGTGACAGGAAAAGGGTCGGACTAGAGGGCAGCCTCACGCGAATCCCTGGCCCCTCTGGGCCTTCTTCATCTGAAACCGGTGAAGTCAGTTCACCCCGCAGTGTGGGTGGAAGCGCTGAAGCTAGGCCGCTCGCTCAGGTGCACCTAGGACTATCTTTAGAGGGTGGGGGAAGAGGTGTAAACAGGTGTGTCTGAGGGAGGACATGCAGGCGACAGCGAGCCCCGGCGGAGACAGCATTTATTGTCGCCTGTTTATTGAAAAAGAGAAGCGGGAGGTGCCTGTCGGAGTGACGCTCTCCTCCTACTGGCTTTGACTAGAAGGAAACCCGGAACTTGTCTTTTTCCCAAGGCAGGAGAGGGGTGGGCCTTCTCGTGGGCCCAGACTCTCCCAATGACGCGTGGTTTGCTGACCATCTTGTCTTTTATCCCCTCAGGTAAGGGTGGCCCTTGAGACCTTCCAAATCAGGGGCTCTCAACTACATGTTTAGAAATCTCCTGAGGAACTTTAAAAAAAATACTGGATACCACACTCCCCACCCCACCCCCAGAGATTCAGTTTAATGAGTTTCAAGTAGGGACAAACATCGTAAATTACATACTATCTAGTACAATCCTCACTTTCTCCTCATTACAGCCATCTCCGTGAAAGTTCAGAATGGCAAGGCCTTAGAGATAGAATGTACCAAAAACCAACACCTAGAACTAGGAGGTGAAGTAAGCAAAATCTCAGAATAGAGAACATTCTGTATACTGTGGACAAAAAGCTGGAAAATGAAATCACCAAACCAATACCACTTAAAATAGCATAGACATCAACTACTTAGGAATAAATCTAACAAAAGATGTGCAAGACTTCTACATTGAAGACTACAAAACCCTGCTGAAAGAAATCAAAGACCAAAATAAATAGAAAGATACACATGTTCATGGACCAAATGACTCACTATCGTTAGGTTGTCTCCCCAAACTGATCTTTAGTTTCAACATAATCCCCATCAAAATTTCAGCAATTTTGAAGAAATGGACAGGCTAACTCTTAAGATTTAAATGGAAATGCAAAGGCTCTAAAATGGCCAGAACAATTTTGGAAAGGAAGAGCAGAATGGAGGACTTACTCTACCTGACTTTGACTTACTATAAAGTCACAGTAATCAAAACAGCATGGTGCTTGCATCCAGATAGACAACAGATCAACAGAATAGAGTTCAGAAATAAACTCACACATATATGGTCAACTGATTTTTGACCACACCATCAATTCAATTCGATGGGAAAAATAATTTTCTCTCTCTCTCTTTTTTTAAAAACAGATTGTTTAAGCCAAGGAGTGGCTGGTGGGCTTGAACTGCCAGCCTTCTGGTTAATAGTCAAATGCCTTAGGCACTATGCCACCAGCGCTCCCTCTACCCTTCCTTAGAGGCTATATAAATGAACAGCAACCCTCTGTGCACATCTCCTGGTCTCTTCCCTCCGCCCCAACCTCTACCTTACTAAACTCATTGCCTTCCACTTGATTCTAACTCACAGCAGAGTAGAACTGCTCCACAGGGCATCCATGACAGTAAATCTTTACAGAAGCAGATTGCCACAACTTTTTTTTTTGAGGAGTGGCTGGTGGGTTCAAACCATTCACCTTTCAGCTAGCAGCCAAGCACTTAACCATACCTTACTATATACATAAAAGTTAATTCAAGATGGATCATAGATCTAGCATAAAACTCAGGATCAGACAGACGTTAAAAGAAAACATAGGAGATATCTTCATGATCTTGGTGTAGGCAAAAATTTCTTGGACAAAACTCTAAAAGCATAAACCATAAAAGAAAAAATTGATAAAAGTTCATTGAAATTAAAGATTTCTGGTCATTAGGACAGCATTTAGAAAATGATTAAGTAAGCCACAGACTAAGAAAAAATATCTAACAAAGGACTCATCCTGAAATATAAAGAACTAAAAACAAAAATAAAAAAGCCATTTTTAAAGGTGCAAGGAAGAAGTTCTAAGGTGTGTGCTTGGCATTCTGAGAGACATGTTTATTATTTGTAATTTAAAAAACAGCAATAATGAATTGTTGTTTTTATGTGCCGTTGAGTTGTACCCAATTCACAGGGACCCCTCCTTGGGTTTCCAAGGCAGTCATCACTACAGAAGTAGATTGCCCAACTTTCCTTCCGAGGAGTGGCTGGTGGGTTTGAACCACCAGCCTTCTAGTTAGCAGTCAAGTGCTTAGGCACTATGCTATCAGAGCTCCTAAGCAATGATGAATAGTATATATTCAATAAGGAGTCCTGGTTATGCAATGGTTAAGAGCTCAGCTGCTAATCAAAAGGTCAGTAGTTCAAACCCACCAGCCTCTCTGAGGGAGAAAAGACCTGGTGATCTGCTCCCATAAAGACCAGTTCTACGTTGTCATTATGAGTTGGAATTGACTGGACAGCACAAAAAAACATATATTAAGCATTTACTACAAGCAAGGTACTTTGGTATTAGAATGTCCATTATTTAATTTAATCCTCAATGTAACTCTGTTAGGTACTATTAGCCTCTGTTAGCTGCTATTATCATTCCTTTCTACAAGTGAAAAACCTGAGGCATGGTTATGGGGCCAGGAAATGGGTCAGAAAGCACTCTAACCATCACACTACCCCCAATTCTGACCTTGCTACTTCTAGTCTATCTTAGGAGGGCTTCATGGTACTCAAGGAGTCCCGGTGGCACAGTGGTTAAGTGCTCAGCTGCTAACTAAAAGGTTAGTGTTTGGATTCTACCAGCCAGTTCCATAGGAGAAAGATATGGCAGTCTGCCTCATAAAGATTTACAGCCTTAGAAATCCTATGGGCCTGTTCAACTCTGGCCTATAGGGTCACTATGAGTCAGAATCAACTCCAGGACAATGGGTTTGGTTGGGGTTGGGTATGGTGCTCAGAAAGAGCAGCAGATATGGGGCCTGGTGTTCCAGCCACACTGCTTTCTAGTTGTGTAATGTTAGATAAGTAACCCAACCTTTCTGAATCTCAACCTTGGTTTCTTCATCAGTAAAATGAACATAACACCAGATCCACCTGTGAGGTTCTTGGAAGTTAAATGATAAAATATTAAAAATGAAGAGACCACAGAATACCAATAAGACACTGATCCTAAAGCTGAGGAAGGAAAGTGAAGTGTCTTTCTCATGGTCATGTAGGAAGAATCCAAGTCCCCAACTTAGCTGGAGTTATTTCTACTATATCTTTGGCTAGGCCTCCCTTCTCACACTTCTCCCCCCCCTCCCCCCAGTTTGCTCAAGTCCCTCTTTGCCTCTCTTCTGCCTCCTACACCTCTTTCACACTCATCACCAGCTCCAAGCTGTCTATCCCTTCTGTGGTACAGTGGGTTGCTTGGTATGGCCTTTCTAGCCATGGTCCTTGTAACTCCCACCAGATGAATGGGTAGGACTATGCAAGTGCAAGGTGCTTGTGGCACACCCAGGGCATTGGATAGCTTGTTAGTAATATAAATAAGGTGTATAGTATCCTTGTGAGGGTGGAACCCTGAAAATAAGGTGTATGGAACCCTAACGTGGGAATTGGTCAGTATTGCCATCCTCTAGTCTTAAAATGAGCCATCCCACAGGCAGAAAAGGGGATCTCACTACCATCAAGAAAGAAGCACTAGGAGTGGAGGGTGTCTTCTGGACCCAAGATCCCTGTGCTGGACCTCTTTGACCCAGTAGACAGAGAGAGAGAGCTGTAACACTTTTCTGAGATGACAGAGAGATAGTGGCAGCAGAGGCAGCAGAACTAAGAGACCTGCATGAGATAGAATGGCAGACTTTCCACCCATGGAGTGAGAAAGCTGAGTGCCTTTAGGCAGGAAGCTTGCTCATGGAGTAGGGTGCCTCTCTGGGCACCTATCTGCAGAGCTAAAAGAGCTTTGTAACACTTGCCTGAGCAGGGCAGAGGGGAGGCCAAGGCCAGAGGAAAGCATGTTTGCAGCACAGCTGAGAAGCTGTCCTGATTGAAGAGCTATATCCAAGTTGTTTCTGACCCTAAATTGTAACCTGTTACTTCCCTAATAAACCCCCATAATACTCAGTATTGTCTGTGAGTTCTGTGTGGTCATTGCAATGAACTCTCAAACCCAGCAGAGAAGTAGTACCATGGGAAGGACAGTTGGTGTCAGAATTATAAAAAGGTTGCAGGGTGAAGGCATGTCTGACTTCTGCCTCATAGCAATCAGCCTTGGGCTGTTGATGCTAATAGTGATTCTCTCCACACACACACCCATGAAGTTAGAGGTCAGGGGATGCCACCACCATATCCCCTTTTTGCACCTTCTCTGGCCACACCATAATTCCCCATCAAACCCCATACTGCTTTTTGCCAGGCTCACCCCTCAGTGCCCCTCATCATATTCAGCTCCTCTGATGAGGCCTCTGATGACTTGCCTCTGCCCCCACCTTGGTCTTCCAGGCTTTGACTTTCCTACCTCCCTCCAGCTCCCAAACACACACCTGTGGCAAGCCTCCAGAAGAGGAGAAGTCAGGCTCCACCCAGAACCCCTCATTCCCCAAAGTCAACTTCTCTCCTTTCTATTGGCTTAATACAGAAAGAAGTACGCCCATATCACCCCCTCAAAAAAGAAATCTCTCTCTCACTAACTCCCTGATACTTGAAATTCCTATAACAGGAGGCTCGGAACCTTTTACTTGATACCTGGAGCTAAGGAAACTGACTACTGGGTAAAACACACTTGGTTTAAGCAAGGAGTTGTTGTTGTTGTTAGGTTTTCAACTCATAGTAACCTCAAGTGACAGAGTAGAACTGCCCCATAGGGTCTTCTTCTAGGGTGAAGACCCTATGAGATCTTCTTTTCTGCCTCCGGGAGGGCTCATTTTAAGCCTAGAGGATGGCAAAACTGACCAACCCCCACGTTAGAGTTCCATACACCTTATTTTCATGGTCCCACCCCTACAAGGGTGCCATGTACCTTCTTTATATTACTAACAAGC